CCCTGGAAAGTGTACCCCAGCCCCTGGGAAGTGTACCCAGACCCTGGAAAGTGTACCCCAGCCCCTGGGAAGTGTACCCAGCCCCTGGGAAGTGTATCCTAGCCCCTGGGAAGTGTATCCAGCCCCTGGAAAGTGTATACAACCCATGGGAAGTGTACCTAGCCCCTGAGAAGTATATCCAGACCCTGGGAAATGTACTCAGCCCCTGGGAAGTGTACCCAGACCCTGGGAAATGTACCCAGCCCCTGGGAAGTGTACCCAACCACTGGGAAGTGTATCCAGTTTGACTTGAGCAGCTTAAAGCAGTTATCTCACTAGGCAGAAATCTTTTCAATAACTCACTGATGCTATTCTCAATCTGCTCGCTTCCTATGCAGAGAAGAGGCAAAGTTAGTAAGCTAAAATTATTTCAGGTAACATTTCCTAGTCACAAAATATTGGGACCATCTCTTGAGGTTAGTATTTTGGTTCCTATGCTGAGCAATATAAGGTCACTGGGTCTTATCAAAAAATAAGATGATGAACTAGGCCTGGGGGCAAAGGCCTACTTCCAGCTACTTGGGAGGCTGAAGCAGGAGGATGGCAAGTTCAAGACCACTCTGAGTGCAGAGTAAACTCAAGACCAACCTAGACAATTAATAAGATTCTGTCTCAAAATAAAACGTTTAGGAATGGGGTGGGAGAGCTCAATGGTAGAGTACTCAGTTAGCATGTGTGAGGTCCTGGGTTCAATTCTTATTGCAAGAAAAAGAGGTAGAGACAAAGACAGACACAGACAGGGACAGAGAAAGAAAGCCAGACTGTGGGACTAAATTTATCTAGTCCCAAACCACTGAAGCAATATTTTTGAAGGATTTGCTCTTGAGCAATCTGTGAATTAAAGAAACTTTATTTTGTTTACTGTCTAAAAGGATTAATGATTTACTACTGGTTACTAGTTGATGTGGTACTTACGGTTCCCCAGGGCTAATGACTGGCAGGGCTTCTCCCACTAGTCCAGGCCAATGACTGAAAAGTCATCTCTTTCAAGAAGTTTTTAACCAATGAGAAGGAGCCGAAGGTTGTGGGCTGAAAGCTAAGGCTCCATATATGCCCGTGCCGTGCTAAAGTGGGTCACACTCCTCAGAAGAAGGCTGCTGGAGAGTGAGGTAAGTGTCTGGGCTGGGCAAAATCCTGACTTCATACCATGTCAAAAAGCAGACCCTGAGGACTGGACTGAAGACGTCAGGGACTGTGAGGTGTTAAATGTTCTAAAAAGCTGAGAGATGCAGGCTTCACTGGTAATTTCACCAGGGAAGGTTATTTAAGAGTTTAAGTTATGTGTGTTTGGGTTTTGTGGTTTGTTTTGTTTTGTTTTTTTTTTTTTTTTTTAATTCGAGGAAATGCCTTAAATCACTGCCCAAGAGTTGAGTTTTTGTTTATATTGTTCTCATTTTTTTCTAACTTTCTTTGAAAAAAATCAAAATTTAAGGTACCTACCAAGAAATATCACTCCAAAGACAGTATTTAAGACTGGCACACTGCTGTAGAATTGGGAAAATTACTGGGTCTATTGAACTCACAAAATATTTCTTTAAAAGGATCAAGTAGAATATAGGTCTTTACTGAGGGCTATAATTTATTTTCATATCCCAAACACTCATTTTTTAAGGTTTACATAATACCATTTGTGAAAAAAGCACAAATATGTGAGGAAATGAAATGTTTCAAAGGCTACTAAGAATTCTAAAATTTCATCCTCTTGACAGACTTCTTTTTTCTTTTAATTTTCACATTCTAAAATGTAACTTTTTACTTGTTACACATATGAAAGTTTTTCTGAGACAAATTTATCATTGATGATGAGTGGGTTTTTGTAACTAGCAAAATACACTTTTCAAGGTTTCCAGGTTTCCTGGTTTATGTATCAGACAGTGTATAATGCTATCAACATTAAATACTTTGCAACCCCGGCATTTAGATGGCCCACGGACTCCCCTACTCTCCCCAGTACTAACATGCTTTCTAAAAGTCCCAGTGCCTTCCGAGCAGACAAGACAAACAGTCACATGCTAGTGACTTCATTGGAATTTCTGTTTGCAGAGACCAGTCCCTGGTTATTTGTTAGGATTTCGTTGCTCAGGTAGCAAGGATTCCCAGACAGGTAATTCTTAGTGAAACAAATTTAAAATGGTACATCTTATGAGAGATAAATATACCTTAAACCGCAGCCCTTCTTAAATGTGTTTGTATGTATCGCCTGGAACAAATTTAATTTTCTCTCTTAATAACAGCTTTGAAGATCATTCTGAAGGTTAAATGGGAGAGAATACACCAACGTTACAGCAGAGATCTAATTATTGAGTCATCTAGAACCAAAGCCAAGTGCTGTGTATTTTAACCACATTATTGTCTGTTTTCAAGCAGTAATATAGAGATTTTTAAAAAATAAATAAACATAAAAGTTAGTTCCAAAGTAGATTCTAGAAGATGTCAGTGAACACTCCTTCCAACTCAGTGCCCAGCAGCACTAGTCGTTTTCAAGTGCATGTTATAAACGAGGGCCATGGCAGCGGTGCAGCCATGAGTGATGGCGCAGACCCCCCACACTACGAAGAGACCTCTTTCGGAGACGAAGCCCAAAACAGACTGAGAATCAGCTTCAGGCCTGGGAATCAGGAGTGCTATGACAATTTCCTCCAAAATGGAGACTCTGCTAGAACAGACACCACATTTCATGCCTACGACTCCCACACAAACACGTACTACCTACAAACCTTTGGCCACAACACCATGGACGCTGTCCCCAAGATTGAGTACTACCGCAACACGGGCAGCGTGAGCGGGCCCAAGGTCAACCGGCCCAGCCTGCTGGAGATCCACGAGCAGCTGGCCAAGGTAAGCCTGAAGGGCCTGGTGAGTGTCCTTCCGCGTGCCGTTTGCTCGGGGTAACAACACTGCACATGCAGGGGTCACATGAAGAGGGCTGGTCCATGCCATCCATCTTCCTTCCACAGCTGTCTCCTGTTCCCAAGAAACAGAAAATGGACAGGGGTTTCACAAATCTTTACTGACTTGGGAGAGAAGTGCAGACTGAGCTTGGAAAATAAGGCAAAGAGTCCTCTGGTGTTTGCAGTAGGGTGGCTCAAGTCCCACGCGGCTGAACACGCCACACTGAATCCTAAGCTGCTTCCACCTCGGAGTCACTTTTGTGCTAACAACTCCACTCCAGTCTTAAACAAAGCGTTGTGCTTTCGTAGTTCATACTGTGGGAGCCAGCCTGCGGTGCAGCCGTGGTGTGGCCTCGAGACACAGCTACCCTGGTAGCTGAGGCTGAGTGATGACTACTTTTTGTATTCTTTAAATAAAGAACAGAAGTGCATAAGACTCAGCGTTGTGTTCATCCTCTTCATACCTTTGCCTGAGCCTCCTGCCTCTACTAATTTAAGCTCAGAAGCACAGTGGCCAGATCTCCTAAAGAATGCACAAGGGTTTCAAAGTCTCTGAAAGACTCTAATGTTGTACTCATCATTTAGAAGCTTCGATTTCTTCTGTGGCTCCCTCTAAGATTTGTTGATTGACTATCCCCCTGCCTTTCTGTCAGCGCGTAATGAACGTCACTGGTTGGTTGGTTGGTTTCTTTGCATGGAGCTGTGCATGTGTGCCTCCTTGTATGTGCTTGAACATGTGGATGCAGGTCTATATGGAAGTCTGAGGGTGATGCTGGGCATGTTCCTCGATGTCTCCACCTTATGTTTTGAGCTCTGGCTTGAACCCAGAGCTTGATGATTCAGGTTGTCCAGTTAGCTTCCTCTGGAGATCCCCTGTCTCAAGCTCCTCAGTGCTGAAATTACAGGTGGGAGAGCATACCAGCCTATTTATGTGAGTGTGGAGATTCAAGCTCAGGCCCTCACACTCACCAGCAAGTGCCTTACCCACTGAGCCATCTCCCCACCCGTGAATATCACTTTTTGGAACATGGTTACACACTCTAGGAAGAGAATTGGATATTACATATTCAAATATTGTTTATTTACTCATGCCCAAGCTTTCAGGAAAACAAAGAATGTACAGTTTATTTCATAATCATTCATTTATTAATTTTGGTTCTTAAAAGTTAAACAAGCTGGGCAGGGTAGCTCAGACCTGTAACTTCAACATTCTGGAAGCTGAGGCCAGCCTGGTCTACAGAGTGAGTTCCTGGACAGCCAAGGCTACACAGAAAAACTTGGTCTTGAGAAAGAGAGAGAGACAGAGACAGAGAGACAGAGACAGAGAGAGACAGAGACAAAGAGACAGAGAGACAGAGATATAGAGAGACAGAGACAGAGAGAACAAGAGAACAAAGAAAGAAAGAAAGAAAGAAAGAAAGAAAGGAAGGAAGGAAGGAAGGAAGGAAGGAAGGAAGGAAGGAAGGAAGGAAGGAAGGAAGAAAGAAAGAAAGAAAGAAAGAAAGAAAGAAAGAAAGAAAGAAAGAAAGAAAGAAAGAAAGAAAGAAAGGAAGGAAGAAAGAAAGAAAGAAAAAGTTACAGTCTCCCATCATCCCCAACCTCCCACTCAGGACGGGTTCTCTTAGGAATGAATCTGGAAAGGCAATAGCTCTTCCTTTAGTTTCTTCTCACCTTCTTCCCGGAGGAAAAACATCTCCAAAATTTACTCTCTGAGCTGCATAGGACCCAACACAATACTAGGACTTCCAGAGGAAGACCCCATGCTCCCACTCTGCCCTCTTATACCCTCACCCCACAAACTTCCTCCTCTGTCCTCTGTGCTGTATCTGTGGCAATCTGCTAACTTTAGGCTTTATCTGAGATATCTGGTATTTTAATTAAAAAAAGAGCATCATGGCTATTCAGACACAGTATCAGCTTCTATGGAGATTTTTTTTTTAAAGGAAGGTAATTTGAAACCCTAGACAAGCGGCTTGTCAGTTTCCTTCTCTGAATGAGGTGGGGAGGAAAGAGGAAAGGCAGGGCACAGGCAAGGGGAAGGAAAGGCAACAGTAGACCTGCAGAAGGCAGGGGGATTCCAGGCTGTGGGAGGAGCAGGAAGAGAAGTTCAACATTACAAGGAGTTTCCCGTTGTCTGAAGAAGTAAAAAGAACCAAAAGTGTCCAGAAAAAGACATGAAATTCTACCCTACCAAATCCTGTACATTACACATAACTTGTAAAGCTGCCCCCTTCGTTATTAAAACTTAAACATTCATCCATCCCCACAACTTACAACAAATAAAAATCCTTAATCCCTATTAAGAAGAAGCTGGAAGCAGGGCCTGGTGGGTAATTCAGGCCAGCAATCCCAGCTATATATACCTGGACAGGATTTCCAAGTCAGAAACTACATGACGAGGGTTCTCCGAATAGGTAAAATGGGGGCAGAGAATTAAGAGTTCGGGGCTTGCTTGGTTACAGAATGAGATCAAAATCAGCTAGGACAACCTTGTAAGACACCGTCTAAGAATTAAAGCTTGAATTTCAAACAAGATGAAGCAAACCAATGATAAGGCTTAGTAACAGTGCAGTCTCCGGCACCATTAAGGAAAAGGGCTGCAGCTGAGTAGGAGGAATGTGGCTCTTAGGACCAATATTCTAAAGAGAAAGGTAGCTTCTGGGTACGTTCTAAAGTCCTGGCTTATGAAGATCTTTAAGCAAGGAAATAAAAACAGAAGCACTTTTTTTTGTTGTTGTTTTGTTTTGTTTTTGTTTTTGTTTTTTTCAGTATGCCTTCTCAATGGCCACACAGCTGAAATGCTGGAGCTGCCTTTGACACAGCACTCTGGAAGCTGTTTGGTGTGGTCTATCATTTTTTGAACAGATGGAATAAGACCCAGGCTTTTACATTGTTCTGTGCTCTGCTCTCTTCACCACACAGTTGACCTTGAAGATCTCTCCATATCAAAGAACGCACAGTGATCACTTGGCTTCTGAGGAGGATTTATCTTGCATTTTACTTCATAAAAAGCGTTCTGTTTTCAGTTCCCCTTAGATGGCATGTGATTGAAGCTGAATTCATTTTTTAGTATTGGAAGTCTTCCTTTCTCCTTAAATGCACTTTATTTTCTCTTCACCTAATCTGCAATACACGAGTAGAAATCTTGGTGAATGGATGATCATTCTATAAAGTTAAAAATGCAATTTTGAACGGTTAAGGACCATCTCTTATGGAAACAGAATGTAAACAAGCAAATTAATTCAAATTGTGAAAGAAAGAACAGCTACAGGAAAGACGTAATCACAGAACTTTTCATCTTTGAGACATTGGCAGCATCCGGATGTCTGTGAGTCCTTAGGCAGAGCTTAGCAACCTTGAGGTCCCCACAAACCAGCACTCATGTCATCTTTAATATTTGGATGAGACATTGAACTTGCTACTCTTCTGGCATACAAAGGATGCATTTATCAAAGAGTGAAACCAAGATTTGCTTTACCACATAAAAGGTTATTTTGCATTTAACTACATCCAGGTAATATTTAAAGAAAAAAATCTTGGATGTATTCTCATTTTCACTTCCTAAGAAAGCAAAAATAGCTTACTGCAGGACATGCCCTGGATTAATCTCATGACAAAATTAGATTCCACACGTAGTTTATAAGGTTGAGAGCCTTTCTGCTCCTTTATATTACAGTGAGGCAAGAAAATGGCATCAGTTCTTGTAAATTTACTATTAAACATTAGTCACAAAAGGAAATATATACTCAAGGTCATTGGCCCCCAGCCCTTGACATAAATATACTCAAAATTTCAGAATACTAGCAAGTTCCATTTATGTATGAAAAGAGAGTTGTCGGCCCTACATTGGCCCTGTTTTTGAAAAAGTAAGAAAATTATCTGGGCCAGGCAACGGTGGCACACACCTTTAATCCCAGAAAAAAATAGAAAAAAGAAAATTATTGCTGTACTAACTTCCATGTACAGTGGTTGCTCTACTCTGCATGTAGAATGTTCTTTTTGTATCGTGTTCTAAAGTCCAAGTGATGGACTGAAGAACCATGAAATTGTGATCAGGAATGCATCCATCAGGGAAAAAAATCATTTAATGGAAAATTTTAAATATGCAATTTATTTTTTTATTCTCCTTTATTGTAGTTTGGGGGGAGTTGTTTGGTTTATTATTGTTGTTGTTGTTGTTGTTGTTTGTAGTTATTACCACTCTCATTCTCTAAATCTCAGGGTCCCAGTCACCGCTGGAGTTCATCAGAGAGCACAGCAATCTCCTAGGTTTTTCTCATCAGGTTTTACCAGAAAGCGTAGGTTTTATTCCCAAAACCTCATCTTAAAAAGGCAAGTGACTAAGGCTTTCTCACCCAATCCCCAGCATTGGGAATAGTGATTAACTAGAATACAGGTAATTGTAAAGGTGACTTCTCCAACTAAGGTGAAGAAATGAATTCTCTAACCAGACAATCCCTCTGACAATCATATTAGCACACCAGTAACTTCCATGCTTTTGAAGACTGTAACTTTCAGTCACGGGAAGTAAAAGCTGTGACTGAGAGGTGGCCCCAGCTGGGAAGTACCTGCAGCATTACTTGGTGTGGATGCCTAGGGCTGTGTCCCACTGGCAAGAGAGAGTGGTGGAAAGAGGGAACTGCCTCTCCAGGAGCTCTGGGACCAGTCAGCCTGGCATCCACACCAGCAAACAACCAAGGAACCCTGTTTCAATCAAGATGGAAGGCAAGGACCAACACCCACGGTCCTATCCTCATCTTCACACACATACCTTAACACATTCATGTCTGCACACAAACACATACAGATATGCACATATGTGTACATATGCACACATATGCACACACATCATACACAGCCCAAATGCGTACATCGTATTATACTCATTCAAACATGTCAGAAACACGTACACATTATACGCAACACATACAAATGAAAGTAAAAGCTACAGGTGACTGTTAGCTGCTTTATGTGTCTAGAATTCATTAAAAGAAAAACACTTTTTACTTGGTGTGTGAAAAGTACCTAATGCAGAAATTTACTATACTGCATAGGCCTGTGTTGAGCTGGCTCATACATAATCCATGACTACTGAGCACTGGAAATGAGGCTAGTCTAAGCCAAGATGTGTTGTCAATGTAAAATAAACATTGGATTTTAACAACTTAATATGAAAAATACTTATATAAAGCCTGTCTGATACTTACACTGACTATAGGTTTGAATGGTGATATTTTGTACAAGCTCGAAAGAGTAAAGCATAGTTGAAAATTCCTTATAATTCCAGCCCCTTCTACAAAGTAAGGGACCACGACTGCTAGCACACATTTATATTACAAATACCTGTAATACAGTTTCCTATAAGAATTTTAAAATGTGATCATGTATATCTAAACCTAAGCTATTTCATCTGATGATTTTTCTCTTTCGTAGTAGCTACTAGGAGCTGAGAGCAAATCTCAATAGCAAACCATGTGCTCAGCAGGAACTAGACCAGTGATTCTTAACCTGTGGGTCGAGACCTTTGGGGTTGAATGACCTTTTCACAGGGGTCACCTAAAAACATTGGAAAACACAGATATTTACATTACAATTCGTAACAGTAGCAAGAGTACAGTTATGAAGCAGCAACAAAAATAATTTTTTGGTTGGGAGTCTCCACAACATGAGGAACTGTATTAAAGGGGCGCAGCATTAGGAAGGCTGAGGACCACTGCTCTGGACCCCAGGTTCAATCCTTAGCATGAACAATAAGTTCAAAACAAATCAAAAGTAGTTATTAGAAATTTCTTAGTTACATGATTGACCTGTGTTCAAAGCTCACATAGACAATCCATTTCTGCCCAGCCAGATCAGCCTCAATATCTTTGGACTTTGTTTACCTTTATTTTACATTGGCCTGAGTATGTAAAGTCAGCTTTCAATTACCTGTGCAAGTAGGGACTGAGGATGCTTAAGATTAAGATACTCTCAGTCTGGAGAGGTGGCTCAGAGGTTAAGAGCACTGGCTGCTCCTCTAGAGGTCCTGAGTTCAATTCCCAGCAACAACATTCTTACAACCATCTATAATGAGATCTGGCGCCCTCTTCTGGTGTGTGGGCATACATGCAGCAGAACAATATATACATAATGAATGAATGAATGAATAAATAAATAGCTAAATAAATAAATAGATAGGTAGATAAATAAATAAATAAATAAATAAATAAATCTTTTTAAAAAGATTAAGATACTCTCTGAGCAATTCAAAACTAAATTGTAACTGTAATTTTCAGCATCCTTTGTTGCTCAATTTCTCCTCATTACTGTCATAGAATAGTAGTAAGAGGCCCTGGCTATGGGCTGAGAATGATGGAATGATGGCCTCGCATGCGGAGCGTCCTGGATTCAGCCCTCCACACAACAAAAAGGGGAAGGGAAAAAAAAAAAAAAGAACGTGGCTTGAAATTCATCCTCTTCCTCTCCCTTTTTAAATGGACCCTGCATAAAGGGGGCAATGAAAAGTGGGTAAGAAACAAAGACTAAATAAAATACCTGAAACTATTCAGGTATATGCAGAAGAAAAATTAGAGACTGAGAGCTATTCTTAATTTGAAATAAATGTATTTTCTCCACATTGTATTCAAGGGCTATCATACAAATAAATAAATAAAGATCTTTTTTAAAAAAGTTTTTGAAAACTTTCCACAGAGATAAAATTGTATACTATTTTTTTAAAATTATTTATGCATAGTTATTTTTGTTTCTACTGAGTAAATCTTACTGGTTGTCAGTCATGAGACCTCTTATTTTCCTCACAATGCAAGCACATTCTAAAATTTCCCAAGCAAGGAGATATGAATCCATAGGAAATTTGGTTTTTCTCTTGGAGCTCGGAGAACCCCACAGAAGACAGGGAGGAAGGACTGTAGGAGCCAGTGGGGCTGAGGTACCAGGAGAACAAGTCCCACAGAATCAACTAACCAGGCTTCATAGGGGCTCACAGAGACTGAAGTGGTAGTCATAGTCTGCACTAGGTCCTTTGCATAATTTTTATTTAAGAAATTTTTAAATTTATTTTACATACCAACCAGAGAGCCCCCTCTTATCCCTCCTCCCACTCCCCCTCAGCCTCTCCCAACCCTCATCCCCTCCTCCAAAAGGATAAGGCCTCCCATGGGGGGTCAGCAAAGCCGGGTACATTCACTTGAGGCAGGACCAAGCCCCTCCCCCCTGCATCAAGGCTGAGCAAGGTGTCCCACCATAGGTAATGGCTCCAGAAAGCCAGCTCATGCACCAAGGATAGATCGTGATCCCACTGCCAGGGACCCTTCGCACAGACAAAGCTACACAACTGTCTCCCGCATGCAGAGGGCCTAGCCAGGTCCCATCCTCTGCATATACATCATGGCTGCTTGGCTTGGTGTTTTTGTGGGACTCATACCGTGGGAGTGGGGGTATCTCTGACTCTTTTGCCTGCTCTTGGGACCCTTTTCCTCCTGCTGGGTTGTCTCATCCAGCCTTGATGTGAGGGTTTGTGCCTAGTGTTACTGTATATTGTTATGCTGTGTTTGGCTGGTATCTCTGGAGGCCTGCTCTTTTCTGAAGGGAAATGGAGGAGCAGTGGATCTGGGAGAGAGGGGAGGTGGAGGGAAAGAGGACTAGGAGGAATGGAGGGAGGAGATCGGGGTCTATTGAAAACAAAACAAAAAATTAAATTAGACAAGTTTGAAAAAAAAGAAATTTCCTTTTGGGACTAGAGAGATAGCTTAGCTGTTTAGGGCATTTTTTTTGCTTCTGCAGAGGACCTGTGTTCCGGTTCCTGTACCCACAAGGTGGCTCACAACCATCCATAACTCCAACGCCAAGGGATCTGAGGTCTATTCTGGCCTCTGTACACACCAAGCACACACATGGTATGCAGATGTGCATGTGGGCAAACATCTGTACATATAAAATAAATAAATAAATAAATAAATAAATAAATAAATAAATAAATAAATAAATAAATAAATAAATAAATAAAATTAATGAGAGTTCCGATATGGGATGAGTACTCTTGCAGTCACGCAATGCCTTTAGCCTCTTGTAGACTGCCAGAAGTTGCTGTTTGCGAGTACAGAAAAAAAAACAAAACACTTCTACGGGTTTTACCATTTGCCCCTCTTAAAGATTTTGCATAAACAGTTTATTGTCATTACTTAACTTATTTTTAAGCAAAGTTGTAGTTTATTAAGAAACTATTTTAACAGAGTTAAGTATTGTCAGAGAGGGAGTGAGGGGAGAGATTGTGTTCTTACCTAAATATTAATTTGAAAAGAGGTTGGGAAAGAGGGAAGAGAGGAGGGATTGTTCCAAGTAACTGAGTGAAACAAAACACAGGGAAAGAATTCCAGCTACTCTGCACCCAGGAGGCTTATCACTCTGTCCTCCAACGCGTGGCACAAACGACCCTCGCCTGGCCTTGCCTGGCTTTCCTCCCTTGAATCTGTTGTCTTGTTTTTATCCTTTTGCATTTTAAATTCATTTAAGTCTGACCACTTTTATGTCGTTAGTGGCAGGATGGCCTCGGTTCTGTCTACCGTCCTCCAGCCTTAGCCATGGTTGGAAATGACTCACAAAGGGAACTCATTGGCTCCCGGGGTAAGAAACAATAGCAACATTATTTGCTGAAGTTATTTAAATAGTTTTTTTTTTCTAGAGTTTTATGGCCACTGTTTTGATTTGGCTTTGAAAGTTTTAAGAAACGGCTTATTTGATCCACCACTGTGTTTGTTTGTTTTGTTTTGTTTTGTTTTTCCTTGGTAAAAATGCAGAATGTGACCGTGGCCCCTGGATCAGCTGACAGGGTTGCTAATGGCGACGGGATGCCAGGAGATGAACAAGCGGAAAACAAGGAGGAAGACACAGCCGGGGTTGTGAAGTTTGGATGGGTGAAAGGTGTGCTGGTAAGAAAACTTCCGTGTTTACCAAGGAGAGCCATCTGCTGGGGGATCGGACAGGATTCACTAGGCAGCCCCGGACACCAGAGTTACTAAGGGGGTTGGTCGGGCTTGGTCCTGCACCTCTCTCCATCCTCACTTCCATCCACAGGTGAGATGCATGCTGAACATCTGGGGAGTCATGCTCTTCATTCGCCTTTCCTGGATTGTTGGAGAAGCCGGAATCGGTGAGCAATTTCCCCTCCTAAATGATTTTTATGTAAATTGTAAGCTTAATGACAAACTTGGTTCTCTATCAATGAGCAGAAGACGAAGGTCACAGAAGGCATTTACACCTGAGAACTTTTTTTTTTTTTTTTTTTGCCTCTGACAATGCCAGGGAGGAGAGGTGAGACGCTAACTCCTGTGAGACTGGAATTTTCCATTTGCCCAACAGGGGAATGGTCAAGCGAGTATCTCTAGCTTTCTATAGAGTTTCAAGCATATGGGTGTATAAAGCATATTTACTTCAAATAACTATGGTCACACTTTGGGATATATTGATGTTCGCATTTTATTTGCCTCAGACTATTCCACTTATGAAGACTGGCAAAAGTTCACTTAGCGAAAACCATCTGTGGGGAAGTGGTAAAAATGTATGTACGACTACATACGTTGAGCTGACTAGTCAAAAGGCTGCATCGTGAACATTTTCCGAAGAAAATATCTGTGTTACTGTCAGATGCCAGCAGTAAACAGCAAGTGCTCATAAAATATCCCAACTCTAAGCCTAAACTGATAATTGAAATGACTCCAGTCATTGCAAGTGATTACTTATAATGTAGGTAACCAGTTTTTTTTTTCTGAATAGAAAAATATTGTATTATTCCAGGAGTGATGATTTGATGCTTTTCAATTACACTCCACTTAAAAATTCAGTTTTGTAAAAAGCGTTTTTACGAAGAATGTAAAATTTATTTGAAAAACTTATTTGAGTTTTTACCTAAGTTCCTAACTTACTGTGATACAAATCGACAGTGTTCTGTTGTATGTGCTCCTCGGAAAAACATGGATTGAGTGCTGAGGGGAGACTTAGAAGAGAGTGTTGGTATGGAGAAGACAGGAGCTCAGCTGTGCCTTCATCTGCTGCTCAGGGAGACATCTCCGTTTGTGTACGGAGGTACCTGGTGTTATCTACCTCCTTCCACACACTTTAGGACGCACAGTGGACAGCTGGAGTGGGAAGGCTCCCCTCCAACAGGGAGCCCGGAGCCAGCCCCAGCGTTTTTTTCCATGTTTCTTGTTCAGCAGCTGCTATGTGCCTGACAGAAAGGCTGCTTGCCGGTTTGATGATGCGTAGCAAATGAATGCCTGCAGCCGCGGGGTCCAAAATAAGTAGATGCCGTGCCATGGAAAATCTGCAGCTTAATATTGCCAAGGCTTTGCTCCGGGGCTTCATGCAAAATTAGGTTTTTAAGGGCAGTTTAGTAACTTATTGAGATCATCAAGACGCAGTTCTTTGTGTGGAGGTGTGAGCCCAGACAGCCCAAGGCAAGAGTAATTCTTTCTAATGTATGTATTTAACACCCATATGTTTGGGCAACAATCTGCACTTTAATCAGATCTTACACAACTCTTCACAGTCAACCCAGTTTCACGTTTATTACAAAGGTATAAAGGATCCTCTCTCTGCTAAGCAGTTTGCTTCACTTTTAGACATTAGTGTGTCTAAACAAAATCATTTCATTTGTGTACTGGAATCACGCTTAGAAGTCAGTAGCGATCACTCTCACCTAACGGTGTGCATGGACTTTTCTGTTGATTGGAGTTGTTGGTGTTGCTTTTTCTCATGCTCTTTTATCTAAGAGCATGGAATTTAGTGATTAGTAGAAACATCTTATCAATCTACACTGTCACAGACCTAGAGCTAACTGGACCAAATGGTCCCATTTGGGATTTGTGTGCTGATAGTTTTCTCACCCATTTTGCTGACTTCCCCACTCTGTGTTGCAGATGTTCCTCTCTAGAGTCTGAATTGAATTCATATCATCCTTCAGGTCCTGGACCATTTTTGCCAGAACTTTTGAAATCTTCATCCGGCACTAGCTCAAGTGTCGGCATCTTTGAGTTCGGGCCTGTTGGTTTGGAGGGGTCTTCTTAATGAGCTTCATACTCTTTAAGACTCAGCCCCTGGTTCCATTTAATGAGACAGCTTCTCTCTCTCTCTCTCTCTCTCTCTCTCTCTCTCTCTCTCTCTCTCTCTCTC